CTCCCTACAGACTGTGCCACTAGAGCATCAACATGAGTTGTCAGAGGCTCTAAATCTTATGGGAGGAAGTTATCCATCTGCCAGTTCGAGTTTACCAGTGACTCTGCCAGAGGGACCCTGTCTTTAAGTTAGTCACACCACCCCCTGTGGACTATGCCACTAGAGGTTCCGTTTTGACAAAAGAAATAGAAAAACTTGTACTATGGAAACAACAAAACACCAGAAACTGCGGTGGGCATTGGTTGTGGATCCAAGTCAGATGACAACTTCAGTCTTTTCTCTATCATGATTCTGCCTATTGATCCAATTGTATTTCTGTTTTCTTGACGTTGGTGTGTAATCCACAGTGAAGACAGTAGTCGCACATAATACATATATGAATAAAACTATACACAAAAGCTAATTAAAAAACAAAAAACAAACCACCCTGTGCAAAGAAATTAAGAAGGCCTAAACAAATGAAATCCCATGTTCATGAGTCAGATTTAATATTATTAAGTTGATCAAGTACTCTAACTCACTGCTGACTTATCGCAACCCTCCATCTCCCAACCAGAGGGGGCTGCCCATCTTTCTCTCACAGATCAGCTGGTGAATTTGACCCACCACAGAAGTACAGCCTTTAGGTAGCAGCAAAACGTGCTATAGACTGCCACCAGAGCTCTGTGTGAAGGTGATCACTCACTGCACTTACTCATTGTCTTCAAGTTATAACTAATACTCATAACAGACCCTCCAGCAGATTTACAGAGGCTGGAGGTGGCTCAGGAGGAGATTTCTTTCTTCCATGGAGCTACCAGTGGATTCAAATTGCCAGAGAAGCCTTTGGGTTAGCAGCACAACTGCCAATGGACTGGATTTCATGTAATCCCTACAAAAAGAATGGTCTTCCTAGCAGAAACTGGCAGACTGATTCCAAAATATGTATGGGAATTCAGATCTAATCAAAATGAAAAAAATCAAAACTTGATGTAGAGAGTGAAGATGCACACTTCCCAATATCAAAACTTTCTACAAAGTAACAATAACCAAGGAGTGTACCGCTTGTGTGAAAAAGATAATGAAATCGAATTAAAGGCTCAGAAATAAACCCGTGAATTTACTGTAAATTTATTTTGATAAAAGTGTTAAAGCCACTCATTCAATGAGGGAATTTAATTGCTGAAGTGATCTTTTCAACAAATGGTATTGGGACAATTGGATAGTTGTATGCAAAAGAAGAAATTGGATCCTACCTCATATACAAAACTTAACTCAAAAGGGATCAAATACTTAAATGTAAAAGCTGTAAATTAGTAAACTCTTAGAAAAATTCCTACTTTGAGTCAAATTTCTGTGGCTTTGTGTAAAAAGAGCAAAGGCTATGAGGGGATGGACATATCTGGCCTTTACCAACTCCACAAAGGGGAACCGTCCCCATTAACAACGCAAAACCAATTCCCACGAGGTCAGACATGTCCTCCATGCTCCAGCACCTCTTTCTACTCATCTCAGCACCAATCTTACAGCTCTACTGGGTCTGAAATTTCTTATCACAGCTCATAGACCACACAGAACTCTTATTAGAGAAGTCAAAAGGCTATAATTCATGTTCACAGCACGATACAATTAGTCAGGACAGCTTCTAGAATGCAGGCACTTCAGCCTTGAGCCTTATGACTTTGAGTCAGTGTTACAAAGCTCTCTTTGTACTGGAAGTAAGTGATGGCTCTTCCTCTCAGACTCCCAACATCCTTAGGCAAAGGCTCTAAGCTCTGGTTCCATGGGGAGCAGACCCAAGGTCAGCTCTGTCTCACATCAGGTTTCTGGTTCTCTGCTTTGGCCATGGCTGCTGCTACTGCTGTAGGTCTAACTGGTACAATAATCCTTGGCCCTGAAGGGCATGCATTGCATGCTTGCTGCTTCTTAGCTGGTAGTGAAATTCTCCAATTCTGCTGCTTAATCTGCTGAATGGTGAAACTAGCCTGTCCCTTTGTGAACTGACTAACACGCACTATTCACATCTTCCCAACCACATGGCAAAGTCAGTGTCTAGGGAAGCCATTTTGAACATAAACTCTTAACACCACACTTTGGATTAAGCAGTTGTTATTGTGTACTGTAGAGTCAGAACCAATCCATAGCTGACTCTCGAGTGGATTTTCAGAGGCAGTTAATTTCACAACCAACAACACAAGATAGATAGACTATTGAGACAGGAAGTAGATTAGTTGTTGTTGTTGTTGTTATGTGCTGTCGAGTCACCTGCGACTCATAGCAACCCTATGTACAGCAGCCCTAAACTCTGCTCTGTCCTGTACCAATCGCACTGTCTCTGACACTCCCATCCCGATTACCGCAGCCACTGAATCAATTCACTTCATAGAGGGCCTTCCCCTCCTGTACTGTCCCTCCACCCTCCCAAGCATGATGTCCCTCTCCAAGGACTGGTCTCTCCTTACAACATGCCCAAAGTATGTCAGATGAAGCCTCAGAATCTTTGCCTCCAAGGAGCAGCCCAGTTTAACCCTCTCCAGGATGAATCTGTTTGTTTTCTTAGCAGTCCATGGTACACTCAATGCTCTTCTCCAGCACCACAGCTCAAAGGCATCAATTGCAAAGACCATGGCCTGTATCAGACACAACTTAGTCTCCAGAGAGACACCATTGCACTTCAGTAGATTAGAGGGTGCCCATTTCAACAAACAGATGCTGCCCTGGACATGCTTACCAGATTGTGCCAAGAAATTTGCAGGACAACCACGTGGCCAACTGACTGGAAGAAATCCTTATTTATTCACATTCCAAAAAGGTGACCCAGCAGAGTGTGAAAATTATCGAACAATATCATTAATATCACATATGAGCCAGATCCTGCTGAAAATTATCCAAAACCGCCTAGAATAGCACATCAGTAGAGAACTACCAAATGTGCAGGCTGAATTTAGAAGAGGCCGTGGTACTAGGGATATCATAGCCAATGTTACATGAGCTCAACGGAAAGCAGAGAATACCAGAGATATGTCTATGTTTCATTGACTATGCAAAGGCGTTTGTGTGGATCACAACAAACTGTGGATAACTCTAGGAGAATGGGAATCTCAGAGCATTTAATTGTGCTTATATAAAACTTATGCTTGGATCAAGAGGCAGTCATCAGAACAGAGCAAGGAAACACTGCATGGTTCAAAAGCAGAAAAAGTGTACTCCAGGGATGCATCCTATATCCATACCTTTTCAATCGGTATGAAAAACAGATCGTTCAGGAGACCAGACGGATGGGGAAGAATGTGGCATCAGGATTGGAGGAAGACTTATCAACAATCTGCATTATGCAGTTGACACAACCTTGCTTGCGGAAACGGAGGAGGACCAGAGAGGCATTTGCTGCAGAGGGTCAAGGACTGCAGCCTTCAATGTGAATTGAAGTTCAACAGCAAGAAAAAAAGATTCTCACCACTGGGCCAATTGGCAACATCATAATAGATGGTGAACAGATTGAGATTAACAACTTTAGTTTGCTGGGCTCCACAGTCAGCACTCTTGATATCAGGAGCCAGGAAATCAAAAGATGAATTGCATTGAGAAAGTCTGCAGTCAGGGACCTCTCCAGAGGACTGAAGAGCAGCGATATCAGTCTGGAGACTAAAGTGTACCTGATCCAGGCCATGGTCTTTCCAGTTACTTTCTGTGCACCGGAGAGCTGGACAATGACTAAGGAAGGATGATAGAAAAAGAATCTATGCCTTTGAATTATGGTGCTGGAAAAGAATACTGAAGATAATAAATAGATCCAGTCTAGAGAAGATGAGACCAGGCTGCTCCTTGGAAGCAAGGAATTTGAATCTCTTTCTGACATACTTTGGTCATGTTGCAAGGCAGGACCAATCCTTGGAGAGGGATGTCATGCTTGGGAGGGTGGAGGGACAGTGCAGGAGAGGAAGACCCTTGATGAGATTGATTGACTCAGTTACTGGGGTAATGGAGTTAGGTGTGTCAGAAACAATGAAATCGGCTCAAGGTAGAGCAGGATTCAGCGCTGTTGTACATAAGGTCACTATGAATTGGAGTTGACTCGGCAGCACATAACAACAGGACTGAGGCAAGGGAGAAGAGGAGAGGGCAAATAATAAGCAAAGTGACTTCAAGATTTCTTGTTGGAGAAGATGAAAGTGTTCTAAAATTGTGCTGATGGTTGTATAGCTCTATTAAAATACTTTAGTATCTAACTATTACCTTGAAATGAGTATATTTTATATATATAAGGTTCTATATCAATAATACCATTATATCATAAAAGAGAATATATAAAACTAACTAGCTTCACAAAATTTAAACTCTATATTATTTTACTTAAGCGTTAGCTTAAGGGGCTCCATTAACTGTGGAAGAATTGAAGATATAGATTATTAACATTTGCCTCAATAAGAACACATGGTTCCTGAGCAAGAGACTCTAGAGCTGTAAGGTAGTAGAGGAAGTCCTCTCTCCTAGAAAGAAAAAACCAAATATTAGAATCGTGCTATTTAGTATGGCAGCCAGCAAGCAAACATTGGCACTCTGGTGGCACAGTGTGCTACATGTACCACTGACAACTCAAAGATCAATGGTTCAAATCCAACAGCTTCTCCATAGGAGAAAATATTCTGTCTCCTTGCAAAGATTTATAGCCTTGGGAAGCTGGCAGAGGTCCCCTTGATTTGGAATTAACTAGAGGGGAGTGGTTTTGCTTTTGTCTTGTTTTTTAGTTAAATATGGCTATTTACATTTAAAGTCATTAAACAGAATTTATAATGCTATACTGTATTGGGCAGTTCATAGTACAGACCATTTCTATCATCATGGATAGTTCTGTGGCACAGCTGTGTTAGGTGCTGTAAGTTCTGTTCAAGTATATATTGGGAGGAAATCGAACACCCAGTATTTGATGAGGCACATGCATTTCTAGGCAGTGAGTTTGTTGATATGATTTTGTTCACAGCTAACACATTAACTGTTTGTCTTTTCCTTCCTTTATGCAGATTAACCACTCTGATAATGAGAAGAACAGATATTCTGGTTGGCCAGCAGAGATTCAAATAGAGGGCTGTATACCACAAGAACCAAGCTAATACTACACTTCCTTAATAAATGTGTTTTATACAAATATCACTTGGAATAGAGAAGAATCTTATCATTTTCATTCCTCCAGTCAATTTTTTATAAAGATTTTGGGCTTATCTCAAATGAACCAATATTTACTAATTAGCTACATCTTGGCACCGTGTTGTGCCAGTGTTTATATACCACAGGAGGAATTGGTGATGCAATGGTAGGATTCTCACCTTCCGCACAGAAGCCCTGGATTCGATTCCCTGCCATTGTACCTCATACACAGCCATCACATACCTGCCTGTCAAAGATTGCACGTTGTGATGCTGAATAGATTTCACAGAAGTTTTCAGACAAGTACAAAGCAAGAGCAAAGACCTGGCAATCTACTCGTAAAAGCCACCCAGTAAACCCTATGGATCAGAATATTCAGATCTACAACCAATCATGGAGACGGCACAAGACCAGACGCGGCTTTGTTCCATGGTGCACGGAATCACCATGATTCAGGGGTCATTCCAACAGGAGCTGACAACAGTTTATATAGTGAAGACGTGCTGTGTTGTGTTCTGAAAAGAATGAACTTGTTAAAGTGAGTGAAGTGATTTAACATGGAAAGGAGAGAGATGGTAGAAGCTACTGCTGCTTGGCCAGGTTGGAGTTGTTCTGTGATCACATGTAGGTTTGGCCACTGTGTGGTGCAGGAAGCTCTGCAGAGGAAGAACCTTGTATGCTTTTATTGGAAACACACCCTGGTTTCCAACAGCCATTGTAGAGGAGAACAAGTGATAGTGGAGAGGGCTCAGCAGGACTTTTTTGATTGACAGCGGTGACCTTAACCTTAACCTTCCCTGCAGATGGAAACTGTTCATCTCGGACATTCCAGAGGCACAATTAGATTCAAAATATTCCATCTCAGCATATTCACTTTTTGGAAGATGCATCTGATTGGGAGCTCAAGCAGTAAGGTCACCAGCAGACAGGACGGCTATCAGGCACATGCCGTTCTAACTGCCTTCCAAAGCCTGGCTGCATAGCAGGTGGTCCTGCCCGAGAAGAGTGCTGAGCCTGTGATGCAGAGTCAGTATTGCCTCCCTGTGGCTGCCGTTACTCCTCTGAACTGTGGGGAGGTGGACTACATGGATGATTTTTAAACATTCTTATCAACAGGACTCTTCAAAACCTTGTAGCATGTGGCACCCTGAATTACAGTACACCTCCAGCAACAAGCAACCGCAGGCACAGTGGTGTAGGACAGGATGCTACTCACAGCACGGGAAACTGGGGTGGCCTGCTGGTGAGGAGTTGCTCTGTCAATGCCAAGGCTCACAGTATGAACTGATCCATGGGCAAAAGGTGGGCAGTCTCCTCTCACGCGATTTACTATCTTAGAAAACCCACTGGAGGGCCAGCTATGAGTTAGTTCCAACTCACTGATGGATAGCAACAATTTACAGTACAGAAAATTTTCACAACTGGGCCAATAGAGAACATTGTGAATAATGGGGGGGGGGCGTAGAAGATAGCAATTGCCAAGGATTACATTCTTCTTGGATCCACAGTTAATATTCAGGGAAGCAACAGTTAAAATAAAATCAAATTATTCCATCAAGAAAACTACAAAAAAACCCACTCTGAAGTATTTAAAAGAAAAAAAAAAAAACAACCACCAACAAACCAAAAAAACCCACCACTTTCAGGAGTAAGGTGCTTCTCTCTCAAACCAGAGCATTTTCAGTATGAAAGCTGGTCAATGAATAAGGAAGACCAAGGACAAATTGGTGCCTTTTTTGTGTATTGTTGGTTGCAAGTGACCAGGAGCCAAGGTCCTCTCTAACAAATTTAGTACCATCTTTATGATTATAGGTATGTCTGAGGTTTAAGTCCACTGTGGTGGCTTTTTTATTTATATTATTGGTTGCATTTCTCTGGAGAACCTAATATACTATGAGAACAGAATAATTCAGACACATTAACAATGACTCTTTCCTAGACACAGAAATGTTAACTAGCCCACCATGGCAAAGCCTTCCATTAGAAGCTAGCATTAGAGTTTAGAATGGAGGGTTGAGTCATAGTCTTGTCCATTGATCTTTAAACCTCTTTCCCAAGACCAAAGGCTCTTTGAAGATTTTCTGAGGGCCAGGAGGTGGAGTGCTCCTGGGCTGGCAGGACTTAATGAGGTGGATGGACATCGTGACTGCACTGATGCACTCAAACATAGCCGTGATTGTGAGGATGGCCTAGGACTAGCATGTCTGCTCTCTGCTACACAAACTTTTTGAGCCTCTGAGCTGGCATCCTTGAAGCAGAGCTTGCTTGGGTTTCATTAGTATGTGGGATTGACACTATTTCCTGGCAGAAGCATTAGGAGGCAGCTACATATCTCTAGCCCCAGTCTTCATTCCATTTGACATGAGATCATGATTCATCAGCCTGGCCCCATGACTCAGAGCTGAGCTACAGCTGACCTGTGTGGCTCAGAAGCATTGTTAGGAGATAACCATTTTACAGTGACCCTGTGTACAACATTCTTGTCAACAGAGCTCCATTTAAAACATAGCAGCACATAGCACTCTGGATTTCAGTACCCCTACTCCATCAGGATTTGAGGGTGACTCATCCATAACCTGCATTGTGCAGATGACACAGTCTTGCTTCCTCAAAGTGAGGAGGACTTGAAGCACTTGTTGCAGAAGATCAAGGAATGCAGCCTTTAGTATATATTGCATCTCAATGTCAAGAAATGATTATTTATGAATATTAATGGTAAGAAAGATTCTTACCGAGGAGACGGAAATTATCAACAGCTTCATCTTGCTTGGATCCACAATTAACACCCTTCATATGAGCAGTCGGGAAATAAGGAGATGCATTGCACTGGGAAAAATCTGCAATTAGGAACCTCTCCAAATTATTGAAGAGTAATGATGTCAGTTTGAGGACTAAGGTGTGTCTGATTCAGGCAATAGTCTTTCTAATCTCTTGCTGTGCATCTGAGAACTGGGCAAAGAATAAGGATGACAGAAGAATAATTGATGCCTTTGAGCTGTGGTGTTGGACAAGAGCATTGAACATCCCATGGATGGTCAGGAGAACAAACACATATGTCTTGGAGAGGGCACAGTCAGAATGCTCTTTGGAGGCAAGAATGATGAGGCTTCACCTATCATACTTTTGAGTATGTTAGTAGGAGGGTCTATTCCTTGGAGAAGGACATGATGCTGGAAAAGGTAGAGGATCGGCAAAGGAGAGGAAGGCCTTCAACCAGGTGGACTGGCACAGGACTGCTGCAACGGGCTGTTGTGTGTCAGGAAGTATGAAAATGGCACAGGATAGAGCAGGGTTCAGATCTTTTGTTCATAGGGCTGCTATGAGTCATACTTGACTCAACATCTTCTAACATAAACATAATGAAACATAACTGCAGCAAGCAGCCCCAGTCCTTTGGTGTACAACCACCTCGACTTTGTGTATATGTTGCTTATGTAAGAAAAACCTCACAACTGAGCCAATAAGCAATATCATAACACAATACCCTGTGTGATGGCTGGTTTTCTATGCCATCCAGGCCAGTTTATGACATACCATTAACAAAATTCCAGACTCTTATGAAGTATTTTAAAAAAGCCAGTTTTTGCTGAGTCAATTCTGATTCCTAGTGACTCTGTGTCTTACAGAATAGAAAGAATTGTGTACCATAGACTTTTCAAGGACTGTTTTTTTAAATATATAGATTGTCAAACCTTTCTTCTAAGACTCCAGCCTTTTGATTAATAGATGAGAACTAACCGTACCTCCAAAGGACTGGCTTACCTTACGTAAAGGAGATTGCCCTCTACATGAAGAATGAGCTTCATCTAGTCAGTTGAAAGTGCAGTCTGCCTCCAAATATAGATAATCAGCATGTTTCCAAATATCTCTTCACTCTTCACATCACGTGACCTATAGATTGAAATCAAGTTTCTCCTTGGAGGCAAGGATATTCATCTCACATATTTTGTTCATCTCACATACTTTGGGCATGTTGCCAGGAAGGACCAGTCATTGGAGAAGGGCATCATGCTCAGAAGATTAGAGAGACAGCATGGGAGAGAAAGACCCCAGGTGAGATGGATTGACATACTAACTGGAGAATGGGTGTAGGTGTGTTGGAAACAGTGAACTTGGCTCAGGATAGGGCAGCGTTCAGAGCTATTGTACATAAGGTCACTATGAGTCATACACAACTCGAAAGCACATAACCACAAACTCCAGTGAACTCTGGTGGCCTAACGGTAAGGAGTTCACTGCCAATTCAAAAGCATACAGTTTGAATCCACCAGCTGCTCTGTGGGAGAAAAATATGCGTCTCCTGTACGATTTATGGTCTCTGAAAACCTGCTAGAAGGCCAGCTATGAGTTGATTCTGACTCGATGGAACCACTAGCAACAAATTGCAAGAGTGTCCAGCCTGTCTCATGAGCCACAAATTTTTAATTTGTCAGACTACAATCTCAGGAACTAAAACCCTTAAAAGTCTCTCTCTCTTCATATGTATGTATTTATAGATATTACATTTGTTGTTGTTGAGTACCATCAAATGCTCTTAACTGAAAAACCTTCAGCAGTTTTTCAGAGGCAATAAACCACATGGAGGAGTACACAAGAGGAAATTGTCCATTTTTGTCCCATGAAGCAGTTGGTGGATTACAAGCGCCTACCTTTGCCTTGGCAGCACAATTCCTTACCACTCAGCCACTAGAGCTCCCTATATTGTGTGTATATCTACAAAGACACACAGATATAGTGTGTATGTGTGTGTGTGGGGGGGGGGTTTAGGTGACAGTACGACTCATAGTGAACAACTGATCTGAACTGCCCTATCACATGCCATTCTAACAATCTCTAACACATTCAAGCCCATTGCCATAGTCTTTATGTCAACCCAGGTCTCTATGAAGACCCTGATTAAGGGTCTTCTATTTTGCTGACCCTCCCACTTTTCTAAGCATGCTGTCCCTCTCCAAGGAGTACCTCT